CTCACCAGCTGCTCCTTGGAAACCCTATACAGGGTCATTATGTGTTGGAATCAACTCAACGGCACTTAACAGCTCTCTCTCTTGATATATATATATATATATATATACACACACAGCATCAATGGGCTCAAATGTGGCAACGATAGTGAGGTTGGCCCAGGATTGGGCAGTGTTTCATTCTGCTGTGCATAAGGTTGCTATGAGTCGGCACCGACTCAATAGCAGCTAACAACAACAACAACAACAAATATATATATATATATGACTGAGTACAATACCTGCCAGAAACTATGCTACTTTATCTTCATGTAGTTTTGTGAAAGATAGTGCTGTATTGAATGAAAGATCAAGTCTCTGTTTTCTATGGGATTTAGTATCCAAATGTATAAATTTCTCTAAGGCATATCAAAATATATAGGGAATACCAAAATCCTTTACAAATTGTTCTTTTCCCCAGTGATATAAACTGTCCATCCCCCAAGTTTCCTATCTAAGCTTTCAAGTTGCTGTTTTCAATTTGACCCCATATAGGTAGATCTTAAAAGAGCATAAAACTCAAGGCAGTCATTATTTACTAGTTAAGCTAAACTACTGTTTAGTTTTATGAAGACTTCAGGGAATATTTTTGTTTACATACTATCACAGGGTAATAGTTTCAGGGGTTCATCTAGCCTCCATGGTTCTGGAAAGTCTAGAGTCCATGAGAATTTCTTCAGTGTAATCTTAAATATGAGGATCTGTCCAAACATTCCTTTCATGTAACTGATACAGCTTTTAACTTACAGCTATTCTTTCACACCAATTCAAAGGGATCTCTAAAGCTCCACAAATTAACATCCTCCTAATATATAGTCCTGATGTGCTGCTGTGGTTAATGAATGCACTAGACTGATAGGTGGTTCAAGCTCACCAACCACTCCTTGGAAACCCTATACAGGGTCACTATGAGCCAGAACTGACTCAATGGCACTAAACAACAACAAAATATCGTACCCAAAGCCCCAGCATAGTAACTTGACACAGAGAAGTCTACTATGTGGCCACATACTACAACACCACAGATCCCCAGCCCCAGCCAGCCATTTCAATCATGTATGTAGCTGATAATAAACCAGTCAGCAGACTATGATAGGAAACTCATTGTGTACTGAGTAACACTGTTGCTGTCAAGTGAGGAGCAGCTGGTGGGTTTGAGCCACTGACCTTGCAGTTAGCAGTCAAGTGCTTATCCTATAGCATCACACCAGGACTCCCTGATTAACACTTGTTGTTGTTAAGTGCCATCGAGTTGGTTCTGACTCATAGCAACCCTCTATAAAGTTTCTGAGGAGCAGCTGGTATAAGCTTGAACCACCGACCTTGCAGTTCAAACAACTTTGCAGTCCAGCGCATTAATCCACAGTGCCACACCAGGTGGGAAATATTTAAAGGTCTAGTCCCAATGAAAGATAGCCTGACATAATAAGTTAAATAAGTTATGTGTTTGCTAACAGACCAGTACATTCACTTTATACTTAAAACATTGTTCAGTTGCTGACACTTAATGTAACCTAATAATACATGACGTTTCTCACTGTGTGTATTACATACCTGACTACTCACTTATGTCTCAGACTCTTTTTGTTCTAGTTGAGTACTTCTAAAAGTCTTAATCTACATATCCAGTTATACTTGTTGTTGTTAAGTGCCATCAAGTCAGGTCCAACTCATAGACCCATTAGAGGATTTCTGAAGAGCAGCTGGTGAGCTTGAACTGCCACCCTTGCAGTTCAAACCGACCTTGCGGTCCAGTGCATTAACCCACAGTGCCAGTTATCATTTTTATATAGTAAAACAATCTTTTAGCCTTATAGGCAGTTATACTTTGAATTCTAAGCAAGGATCTCTACTTCAGCTGCACAATAGAATACTAGAATAACCCAAGGAAACATTAACTCCAGATATTTGGATTTAATTGGCCTTGGGTAGAAGGGAATTTAGACAGCAACCCAGGTGTTTCTAAACAACCAAGATGGAGACACTCTGCAGTGCTTTACAGCTTTGACTGCACATTGAAATCATCTTGGGAGCTTTAAAAAATACTGACGCCCAGGTCCAACCCCTAGAGATCTGATGTAATTGGTCTAGGATGCTGTGTAGACATTGATATTTGTAAAGTTCCACAGGGGAACCAAAGGTGCAGCAAAGTTAGGAACTACAGTCTAAAAGAAAGAACTGACCTTGGGTCAGAAGATTTGGGTTTTGCATCTTTCCTGTCTTATTAGCTGTAAGACATTGGACAAACTACATAACCTCTTAAAGCTTCAGTTTTCTAATCTTTTAAAATGACAACAATAATACCTACCTCACAAGATTGTTATAATGTTGGCAAAATAAACTATAAATTTTAAATAACTATGCAATAACAGCTCCTTCAAATAATGAGTCTGGGACCATTTAATATTTATTGTTTACGTTGTGTGCATGAAAATATACATGTTTAATAGGCCTTCTCAAAGTTTTTCATAGAATATTTTTAAATAAATATAAGAAGGAAAATATTCAGTAGTATGTACAGTACCTGTTAAATTAACTGTCTTCCATTTAACCACCTTTGCTGTTTAACCATTGATACAGCACAGAAAGGAGCTGTTCTACCCTTTTCTTCACTCCTCTACCATTAGTTTCTGATCCCAAGGTATCCATCCAAGTTAGGAAAGGATAAGGAAAATTTATTCAACAAATATTTATTGCCTATAATGTACATGCATCAGTGCTGGGTGCTATGGAACACAGAGAAGGAGAAAACAAAGCTCCTACCTTTTACAATGTACAATCTAGAAATTGTATACAGAAGAAAATGTATATATATCTGAAGTGGTTACATCAAGCAAGGTAATTTGACTGATTTAAGTATAGAATTCATCTCCAGAATGGTGTATAGGTAGGGATACAGAGAAGCAAGATCTCATCATGACCAGAAGCATAGAGTCTGGAAAAAGAGGGCTTAATCTGAGACCTAAAGGGGGTTAAGATTTACAAAAATAATTAAATCAGGGATACTGTTGTTAAGTGCTGTTGAGTCAGTTCTAACTCATAGCGACCTTGTATAGGGTTTCTGAGGAGTAACTTTCTGAGGTCAGTTTGAACTTGCAGTCCAGTGCTTATCCTACAGCACCATACCAGGATTTACAAAAATAATTTAAATCAGGAATAGTAGCGGGGGGGAAGCAAACAAGCAGAAATGACCGTGATATGTGTAGGTAACACTGGAGAAACTGTCTAGGTCAGTGGTTGAAGACTTGAATAGTTAGGTCACGCCAGGTTGCAGAGAGTCTTTGATATCTGGTCGATTTGTCTGATGTTTATTCATGGGTTTTGAGAAGTCACTAAAAGCTGTTAAGCTTGGACGTGATCCTACAGATAAGATGTCATAAGATGGGTAATCTGTTAATGAAGAGGATAGATGATAAGGACAGACTGCAGGTAGCAGCAGTTATGCAGTGTGATCCAGAGAGGAGGTGGAATTGACATAGCATTGGTGGCCCTACAAAAGGAAGACTGGATATTAGTGAAAAATGATATAGGGAAAAATGATAAAGGGAATAAAAGACACAGGAAAGTAAAGGAGGAGCAGGACTGAAGTATGCCAAGATTTTCTTATTAGAAATATCTAATAGGCATTTGGGAACTTGGTGAGAGAGACCAGGAACAGATAGTAAAATTTGAGAAACACTCATAAAATAGTGATGGGTGAAACTCTCAAGTGGTTTCCTAAAGGAGAGAAGAGTTAAAAGAAGAAGGGTACAGTGCAGCAGA